CGCGGCCGCAAGGCTGCCTGCTCCGCGCAAACGACGAGCGAACATGTTTTCTTACCTTAATTACTCTTTTTTTTCCTTACACTTTTTCTTCTTACTTATTGCGGTGTATCTGCAAAGAGTGGCAAAGCCAGGCAAAGTTAGTAAAAATAGAAAAAGGAGGTGAGTGTGCAAGAGGTTGCGCATTGGACAAATGGAGAGGAACGCCAACCAATGCCTTCTTGATGAGCGGCCTGCTCGGGAGCAGCGCACAAAACACAACCTTTGACCCGACCGACAGTCGGGTGCAAAAGGGAGCTTGTCTGTAGAGTAGGTCATGAGACGGCCTCTTTCCGTAATGAATACTGGATATTGGCACTGCCACTGGCATCCTGTTAATTTCACTCGAGATTTTCGTTAGGGTGTTCCTTCTCCGTCGGGTTTGGGCGAGACGGTCCTCCTTCCCCACCGCCTTCTTCGGATTTGTATGCGGTGCGATATCTGTCGCCCGCATCGTGTCTTATGTCTGCTACAGGGACTGCAATAAAATATGCTTTTTCATCTTGACAACATCCACGTAAGGTGGTATCTCCTCGTGGTACAGCTGCAGCACACGTCCCCAGTATGCTTCCCCACCTATGATGGTAGAGAGTGTAGACTGGGCACGACGCTGCCGTTGAGACACCTGGTTGAATTGTGAGAGCGCTGTATAGCAGTAGTTGAATACGGCTTGTAGGTGCGCTGCCTTTTCCATCAAGGGCGTTAGGTTTTTGTTTTCGTCAGAGGGGTCAAGAACACTGATCTGTGAGTTGCGGTGGACTTTGGGCGTTGGGCTCGACATCCCATTCACTGTGACGGAATGGTTTACAAGGTCAAAGTTTGCAGCAAAGCCATACGTCAAAAAGAAATCCATCATAAGGCGATTCGCATCTGGAACGTCGCAGAAACTGTACGAGTTGATGATGGAAACAAACATGGTAGCAAGAGCCTCGCCGTTCAGGGCATCCTTGTCGGTGCCGGTATCGTCCATAATTTTGTTCTGGCGAAGAAGAGCATCCAGTAGTGTAAGTGTCGCGTGATAGTCCTCGTTTGACGCTATTATTGTTCGAAATATATTCGATGCACGCTCTGCTTGTGATGCTTGAGGCCCATAGCGTATTGTAAGCCTCCTTCCAGATCTGGTGTCTGTCAACACAACACATGGCACTTCCCTGTAATCTGTATTGAACTCCACGCGTGCACCAAGACTGTTGGCAACATCTTGAATTTCCTTTTGGACGCGCCATAATTCCTCCGGTTCGACTGGGGAATTCTCCGCATAATAATGGAGCGTGACTTCTTTTAGTGGCGATAGTCCGGCAGCCGTTGTTGACATGGGCTTCATCACTACATCGGGCCACACCGCCTGCATGACTTCTTTTGCAAGACGCAGTGAGGAATCACTGCATTGTAATTCCTCTGGCGTGGCACGAAGAAATGACGCAAAAAGGCGTAGTTCTTCGGTGGCTTCCTCAGGCACGGCAAAACCAACACACCACGGCGGCCACGGTCGGCATTCCCGCGCTAATGCCTTCAACAACGGTCGAGTTGCAACCAGAATCACATTCGCAGTTTCTCGCGGTGGCCCAATAAAGTGAAAGCTGCCTGGTGTAGATTGTTTCGAGCGGCGTGAACCGTACGAGCCATTTTGGCTGCTTCGAAACCCCAGGCGGTAACCAAGATTGGGAGTTCCAAGACTACCTTGATGTGTAGACGGGCTGTAGTAGGCGCCCTGCATCGGTTCCTCCGCATGTTCGTTCGGCATCGGCGGCGATGACATTGGATGCGAAAAAGAAGGGGAGTTCTGCATAAAATTTCTGTGCGTGTTGAAATGTCTCCCTCCTTTCATTATCTTTCGCTATTTTCTCTCTCTCTTTTCTTTTCTTTTTTTTTTTTTTTTTTTTTTCGCACCCTCTGCGAGTTGTTGTTGCTTTACTATTTCCACTCACACAACAAGTTTCTTTTGAATAAGAAAGGGTGAAGCAAATTCGGTGAAACGTGATGGAAAACGACTTCAAAGAGGCCGCACGACATGTGTGGCACCGCACCCAAACACACAGCTTTCGCTTTTACGCATCAGTCAGTATCATCACATCCAAGAATATGGAGAGGGCGGAAGAAAAGGAGTTTGCGGCTGCTCGTCCCGCTCTTCCCACCTCCCACAGCGCCGAAACATAGGCGCTGCTGATAAGGAATTGGAAGAGAAATATAAAAATAAAGATACGCGGAAATGAACGGAATCATGCAGTACGGGTGCACCACTGGAAGAAACACCCGCCACGTAACCCCCAAGAAAAAAAAAAAAAAAAAAAAAGATGATTGGGAAACAAAACATCCTCGCAGTTTTTGCCCGGTACTCATACGTGCAGACATTTTCCTAAAGTACTTCTCCATTTGCTTTTGGCTGCACTGAGCGACGTATCACCGGGGCTGCTGCCAAGAGATGTATCGCGTCACTGAGGCCTATTATTGTTTCACCATCCTCCTTACTGCCCTCATTTGGTTTCTCTGTGATCTCTTTAATGATGACCTTCGGTGTTAGCGGCTCCATCTCAGCAATTGCCCGCCCCACACTTTCGAGAGAAATCACCAACTCAGTACTCTCCGGGCTACGGTAATGGGAATACGAAGTTAACTTTTCCAACAATCCTACATAAAACTTCATACCCGATGCACATTCCTGGTCAAAAAGTGTAGACATGAACTTCCCTTCCGTGGCACAGAGAGATTCTACATCGTGGGTTGTGTCAGAGCCCATCGTATCCTTAAGGGCGGTGATTTCTTCCATTGTCTTCAGCTGCAACACTGGAGCGATACAGTCACTAATCGCTACCCGACGAAGGCGTGTTTTCTTCTGTCCTTTTGAAAGACTAGTCAATTCAAAACGAACATTTTCCACGATCATCATGACATCGCAGGCAATACGGGCAGGGAATATACCGGAGAGAATCCCATCCAGAAGTAAGAACGAGGGTCTAGCACGTTCTTTATCTTTTATGAAATCCGCAATATTGATGGCAAGATGCTCCGCACCAACAAAGCCGTTGAGCGCTTCCCTCTTTTTTATCCGCTCGCGGAGGAACTCCTTGTAGAGTGCGGGGACATCAAGCGTATGTAGAAGAACGTCGGGATGTGGTTGCAATACATCACCAAAAAAATCATGCACAAGAAGTAATATTTCCACCGGATCTAAACTCACGCGGGGAATAATGCCACATGCACGAAGATGGAGAGGAACATGAGACTCCACGCCTTGACCTATAAGAGGAAGGGTGGGTGCGACTGTTGGCATCAGTACCATCTTCCGCCGCTGCAGTTCCCGTGAAAGTGAGTTGATGCTCTCCACGAGAAACTCCACCTGGAGCCTTGTCTCAGTCAACCCTCCCACATTTGAGGTGATGGCTTCATCACCCTCAAGCGAAATGGACTTAACGGGAGCTGCAATATCCTTAAGCTCAGGAAGGGCCAAGTGAATTTTCTTCCAATCTGGACGAGGTGTGAGAATTTCCTTCCTGCCATCCTCAACGGCTTCAAGAAGCTCCTTATTTTCTTTTTGGATAGCCTTTAGTTTCCTATCAATGACATCCACCTGCGTCCCTCGTACAGCGGCTGCGCGACGATACTGGCGAGCCGTATTTTGTGCTGCCTGCAACTCACCTTTAAGGTAGTCCCGTATAATTTCGTGATCCTGCACAGAAATAAAATTCTGATATTTTAATTTAAACTCTTCAAGTTGTTTCTGAGCTTCCCCTGCCATGACTTTGAATTCACTTAGCTCATCCATTTGGCTGTTGACGCAGGATAATTGAACCTCCAGTGACTTTGTCCGTTTATCGCTTTCCCGCAGGGAATTAATAAGAACAAGTTGTTTCTCCAGTTCACTTTTGATGACCTCGCCCATTTCTTTAATCTTCTTTTGGGCATCCTGCAGCTCCTTTTCGTTCTCATGACGCGTCCGTGTTGCACGCTGCAAGCGTGGCTCCAACTTGGTATTCCAATCATTGCTGGGAACGGGTAACGTTTCTTCGTTTGCCGCGTTTTGGACCTTTTCCAGCTCTTTCATTAAATTACTTACGGTGGACCTCAGTTCGGCCAACTCAATGGCATTTTGCTGCTCAAAAGCATTCCGTTGAGAATGCTCCGTAATAATATCTGCAAGCAACTTCGCCTGTTCTTGAATAACACCGTCGTAAACACTCATTATATCGTTGAGAATATTGCCATACGCCGGGAGCGCATCAATAATGGCAAAAAAAGCCTCACGAAAGGGCTGTAGACGGTCTTGCACGGTAAGGGGTGAGCCTCTACTTAATGTTGCATCCATTTCTCGATAAATGTAGCGTTCTAGTGTGTTTACAAGGGGAGGAAGTGAATCCCTGGACGTACTGCGGAGCGTCATCGAGTTGAGCATATCCATCGTCCCAGAATAAGTTTGATTCATCTTCTTGGATAAAGACAACGCATTTACCGCCACATTTTTGTACAATTTTTCAAATTGTGTAGACTGAAGATGTGGAGATCGGGAGCGCTGCAAATCATCTCCACTGGCATCCATTAATGGCGATGCCTGAGCTTTGCTGTGACCAACGGTTGCCGCCTTGGAGGCCACACATGTTTCCATTCCCCCTTCTCTTCTATTCTTACTCATCTTGCCGCTGTTGCTCTTTGTTATGGCTTTTTGCGTTGCACCCTTTCTCTGACTGTTAATTAACGTACATGCGGACGGACCAATCTCTCGCAATGAGGCTGTGAAAATCGAGCCATCCTCGCCGCACACAATTGGCTTGTACGGCAGCTGTGGCAAGTGTTTGTTGCCCAGCACGACGGAGGGGACGGAGGGTGACGTGATATGCTGCACTCCCTTGAGTGGCAGCGTGCGGGAGGGACAAATAGAGCGTCCGGTATCCATTTGTCGCTACACGGTACGCAGACCCAAAAAAACGTTCTGTTTTTCTTTTTATTTCGACAATTCAAATGGTTTTGGAGATTCTCTCTCCCTTTCTCCTGCTAAATGACTCTTCTGTTTTCGGCGCCAGACGCCTGTAAAAGAGACGTCCACAGAAAGACAAAAAGGCAAAAGTACCCAAAAAAAAAAACAAAAAAAAAAAAAAAAACAAAAAAAAAGAAATGGCGGCAACTTGTAGCGGAGTCCGTCGGGATGTGGTGAAACAAACAATTGTCTGTGCACAGACACACAGGCAATAAGGGAGGATGTGAGGTAAATGGCGTCTAGTTCCCCCAATCTCCTCCTAGGAGCAGCAACGATGTCAAAACACTGACAACGCAAAGCACATACATATATATAAATACATTAAAAAAAGAAAAAAAAAAGAAAAAAAAAAATAGAATGAGGTTGGGGAAAAAGAGGGAGGCCACGAGAAAAACGAAAACAAAACAAAACAAAATAAATAAATAAACGCATAAGGCATTAAACTTACCCCCTCTTCCCCCCCTCAATAATAATAATAAATAAATAATTAAATAAAAAAAAATATATTTTTTCTTCGATTCACTCATACTCACATACGTTTGGGTTTCATTCTTTTCTCCATTCCTCCTTTATCGTTGGAAGGGCACATCAACTCATGCGCGGGCCTCAAATATGCCCCACACAAGTCCACCTTCACTCTGATTGATGAGGTCAAGTGTCTCCTTAATGTCGAAGACACGGGATTTCCCAACGCCATTGTCATTGTTGATTTCGGAAAACGACCGTACAGCGTGATTCTTCCTTGAACGAATAAAGTCAAAGTTAAGGTCCATCTTAGCTCGCTCCTCCTCCAAGATGACTCGGTACTCTTCCTCTGTGAAGGTGGAATTGACAGGGCGCAGCTTTTTTTTTAAATCACGCAGAGTATTTTCCGTCACTTCGGGTTTACTTTGTACCCGATAATCTAAAAAGGCAAGACGACATTTGTTGATAATCTTCTGGGTGTTCAGGTCTTGTGTGCCGACCAGGTAAACCTCATATTCATACGGCGCGAGAATGGAAGCCATTTTGGGGAATATGTGTGTGGTGGGCCCTTGGCGCACCACCCGGAGTCGACTGCCTATCCATTGAAAGAAGATCAACAGCGATTGACGCTCCTCCGCTGCACCAAGTGTTATACGGAAGAGACCAAAGAGCCACTTTGCTGCGGGCAGTTGCTTCACAAGCTCAAAGATGCCTCCGTTACCGGCACCAGCAAGCGTCAAATGCAGTGGATTAGCCTCAAAGGTAGCCCAATTCAACGGGCCAAGTTTCATGTGAAGGGCTTCCAGAACGCTCCTTGTGTTGTCGTCGATATCGCAGGGGACGTTTTGAATTTGAAAGGAGGTGAAACTTGGCATTTCATACACTTCATCATCCGAAGAATGGCGCGACAATGCCCTGGATATTGAATGTGGTCGTGATGGTGGTATTGATTCACGATGCATCGTCCACTGTTGTTCCTTTATGCAACGTTTATATTCCTCTTGTATCTTTTCCAGTGAGAAGTTGCCAGCGTCCGTGACAAACACGCTGCGCATCTGCTGAACTAAAAAGGCAAGGGAAAGTGATGACTTGTCCGTCGTGGAGATACCGGCGGCACCGTGAAGCACATTTTTAAAAAGGTTTATTTCCGCAATGCCCTTCCCACGCTTGACAACGCCGCAGTTGGGGCCGATAAAAATAACGTAGATGAACTTGTTGCGCCTAAAGGTCCCCATGCCCACGGGAAATTTTGTGTACAGTAGCTGCACCTGCGTGTCATCCAACCGCTTAAATGCATTCTCCACATCATCTGAACCGCGGGATACACAAACCACCCTGGCATCCATCACACCCTTTTTCTCTTCTCCCCCCCCCGCTTTCTTTTTTTCCTTCTTTCTTTCTTTCTTCTGCAACTCCCTCCTTTTTGTCTTGCTATGCTACAGCTTCCACGTGACTGCGTCTGTAGCGTTGTCCGATACCACCAAGCCGCACTGCAAACCCGCCCCCCTCTCTCCCTTTCTCTATGGATATGTATATATCTCCTATCATTAACGGAGAAAACAATGAGGCAAAAAACAGAAATAAAGGATTTGTGCCATTGACGGGGGAAACAAGCTCCCCATCGCATCACAGTGACGTGATAAAAGTCATTTCCCTCCTGAAAATAATAATTTACATGGTGTAGCACCAAATTCCTTCATTTTCCATTTTTTTCTTTATTTTTTATTTTTTTTTCTTCCGTCTCCTTTTCTTTTCCTTTTTTCTTTTCTTTCCTCGTTGTGTCAAATTCATCTGCTCAGCAATATAAAAAAAAAGAAAAAAAAAAAAAAAATGTACGTGCGTATGCGTATGTGTGTGTGTGTGTGCGTCCATTTGTAATATTTATATATAAATATGTATATATATATATATATGGGTGTATATATATATATATATAAATGTATGTTCTCCTCCCTCATTTCTAACAATTTTCTTATTGTTTCATTTTGCAAACTTTTCTCAATTAATAACTTTTTATTTCTTATTTTTTTTGTTTTTGTTTTTGGTGATTGTTGTTGCCGCCACTCAGCCTTTGTTTCCTTCTCATGATGTGCATTCGAACTTAACGTCCACTCACAGTGCCGGATGATTTTCCCCAAATTCTTCACATTCCTCACTTGTCCCATCCGCACCCTCGCCCGATATTCCTCCCATTTCTTCCTCAATAAATCCCACCTTCTTCTCCCCCCCCTCCACGCACGGAAAAACAAAAACAAAAAAAAACAGGCAGGCAACTACGCGGGAAGGAAAGGGCACATGAACCATCACGAAAACAGCCTCGGAAGCAAACAGCAGCAGCAACACACACACACACACACACACGCACACACACACACAAGCAGATAAATTGAATCAACCACACAAAAACTCAATAAAAAAACAAACCGAACCAAAAACTTCTTTGAACATTTAAATAAAGTGAAGTATGAAGGAAAGAGGCACAAACAAACAAACAAAAAAAAAAAAAAAAAAACGAAAAAAAAACAAAAAAAAACATTTGAGTGAATGTGAAATGAAGTGGAAAGCAAATAACCACAAAGATGTAAAAAAACACGGCAACTGCAGAGAAAACAAAAAAAAGCGAAGGAATGTCTGTTCGTCCGTGCGATTAAAGACAAACAGAAGGCATTTTGTGTGTTGGAAAAAATTCTCAGTCCTCTTCTCATCCCCTCCCCTCCCTCCACCATGCACAGATGCAAGCATAGACCTCCCCAATTTCTCTCCATTTCTTTT